GGAGAGAACCCACGCTGCACGGGGAGAACATACAAACTCCACGCAGAAAGATCCCAGTGCCCCCACCGGGACGCGAACTGGCGACCTTCTTGCTGCGAAGCAACAGTGCTACCAACTGTGCCACCTTGCAGCCCACCAGGAAAACCTATTTAAGCAATTATAAAAAGTTCAATATACTGTAACGTATGACTTTGTGAGATACGTTAATGAATGAACACAAAGCTGAAAATGCACGTTAAAGGCACTTACGATGCTACCACTGATGACAACTATGATTACTAATAAATCGATATGTTGTGAAAAATTACTACACATATGGTCTGTCAATTGCAAAAATATGAATACTTCCAGTTTCTACTGTTACGTATATTTGAAAAAAATATTATTTTAAGAGATTTGACAGTGAGCATTTGCTATATATTATTATATACATACAACATATATATATGAAAAACATAAAGAAATACATAAAGTGAAATAATAGAAATGCTTAATTCATTAATTCACATTCCAAGCAATGTTGTAAAGTTTGTGGTTTTCTTTACCTTGAACATCAGACAGGGCAATAAGAAGGTCTGCTTTCATTTCAACAGCCAGTCGTGCAGCCAAGCTGTCATTATCTTTGATGCTTATTACCTGAAATGCAAACAGACATTAGGTCAAAATGAAAAACATTATGCTGTAGAGCATCAGCTGCTACCATGCAAAAAAGTCCCCCAGCCCCATTTAGTTGCACAACAAATAACACACATTAACCTCATTCAAAAAGGCAATGGCACAAGCAGGTGTGCACAAATAAATAGCACAAAAAGAGACCACCACACTGTATGAAAACATTTAAAGCAGCTATAAAAATAAGACCATGTGTCAAAGAAGTGAAATGATAATGAGAGTGGAAATGGAAATGAAATGAAGCATACTTATTTCATTTATGCTTTAAGCAATCTGCCAACACAACTCTGCACCAAACATAGAATTCCCAGCATGCCCATCACACAGTACCCACATTTACCCCCTGCAAGTCACTGTTGGGAACAGGGGGCGGAACGACAGCATCATTGGTGTTGATGATGGGAACTATGTTCATCCTCAGAAGTTCATGTAATGTGCTGTTTAGATTGCGACGCTTCTGCTCATCATGAAAATCCAGGTTGGTGACGAGAATCTACAGAAGTGGACAGAAATGTGAAAAATTCAATGGTACGCAAGTTATTTGCTGTCAGCACTGTATTGTGTGAATTAAGTACATACCTGTGCGGTGCAGATACTGTACTGGGTGAACATAGCTTCGTACAACGCCATCAGGCCACTCTGCCCTGCAGCCGCACACGCCCTTGCTTCCAAAACTGGAATTGACTGCAAAACAGAGAGACTTCACTAAAGTTAACAGGACTAGGAACCAAATGTAGTTAAATGTTTATATAATAAATAAACAAAATATTAAATGTGTAAAAAAAAAATAAAAAACCATATTATATAAGGCATAAATGCTTTTAAAAGAGTGGACCTAATTTCTTTGGTACACATTTATTACTCACCATGTCTTTGAGCTGGTTCTGTCCAGAATGTAAGGCCTGCCTGACGCTCTGAGACAGCAGTATCTCATGTCTCAGTCGCTGCTTCCCAAAGGCCACAGCACCACTCGTAACAATCATCATCTCCCTGCCTTGATTCTGGAGCATGGCCACCTGACAGGACACAAACACAGCAAAAGTCAAGTTCATCTTTCACAGTCATGGTCACTCCTCATACCTGCTAGATTCTATTTCCTCCTCAGCCCACATAACATATTGTACATACTACACAGTTTGCTCTCTCTGCTCTTTTTTTGCATCGGCAATATTACCTGCTCCACAATTGACGCCAGTCGTCCAAGTGCCAGACCGCATTCATCTCCACGTGTAACCACGGCACTGCCCAGCTTCACTACAACACGCTTGGCCTGCTTCAACTCACTGCGGTGGGCAAAAGACTTCCCATGGGGACGTGGGAGCGAGACTGCAGAAAATATCACAATCACAATTTAATACACATGGTACACAAAGACAACGATAACTATCAAGCTGGTTGTGAGAATGTTGTCTATTTCAGGTATGATGAAGGTTGCTTACTTACATTTAGCCTGGGAAAAAGCTCTGATGGTGACCGGACACACATTTGATTGCCGGATTCTGGATGGCAGGCAAGAGTACAAGGCCAGCCTGGCAAACATGGCACTGACACCTGGAAACCACTGAGATGAACACATAAATCAGTGTCTAGTTACTCTAACAGTGGAACAACCTCATCAGAGATAAGCAATTATTAGGTATGATAGACATTTGGGCTGAACAATATAAAAAGAATAATATTTAGAAATGATTCCGATTCACATATTTGCAGGGTATGGCCATTTTTTTAGTTCTCAATTGAAAAACAAATAATAAAATTAAGATTTTGTCTGTTTGTTTGTTTTTGCTGCAATCAGAACCAAGTAAGCATGTTCATTTTTGTCTGGAAAATCTCTGTAGCACCACAATGCTTCATTTATGTTGCTATTTTTCTACGACATTTGACCTTTACAAAAATAAATAACTTGCAGCTCTTGTGATTTGGATGTTGTGTTTGGCCGTATTGCAATTTCAATATTACTTGTTCAGCCCTAATAGACAGAATATAGTAGGTTATCAATCATTAACACTTCAAATCTAAAACATATTAAATATCATGACAAAAATCAACAAGATTTAGTTTAATTTATGCAACATTCATGCTCACAGTTTACATCTGAAGATGAGCAGAATTCGTTCATGCAGACAAAAAAGCACATCGTAGGAATTTATAACTACACACATGCAACCAATCATAAAATCACAAATATCTTACCAATACAAGCACACATATAATTTATCAAACAAAGACACAAAAAGACCCAAAGGTTTCAGCTATCATGTTGTTTCTTTGTTATGAGTTCTGAGTGTTGCTTGAACTTGACACACTGACCAAGTATAGACGTTGTTAGCTTAAAGTTAGCTTAGTCAGCTAAAAGTCCAGAGACTAGGTGCTATTCACACAAACACACTCAACACATATGAATCCGCTGTCGTTTGAAAGTTAGTTCATCAGACTACAGCAGCTACGTGTCCAGTGCAGCTGCTGTCAAAACCTGCCCTGTGCTAGCTAACGTTAGCTAGCTTTAGCTACTTTTAGCTAACACTCCCAGCGGCTCTTTTCAACTAAAAAGGACGTAAAGGATCAAAAATACACTCCTTACCTGGCAATTCGGAGGCCTAAAACAACAACCAGAGCTACACTTGTGAGTGCACTTCAAAGAGGGAGACACGTACTCAGCCGGTGGACTGGCGGTGCTTCACTGCCACATCCACAGCCCACGTTTGGGAAGTGCCTACACGAGCGATTCACGAAGGACACGTAAGTAGAAACGTAGTGACGCTCCTGTCGGGGGGGAGCTCACTTACGTACGCACAAATAGTAGTTTTGATGCGAGAACAGGGAGAGCTCAGGTACAGGAACACGATGTAAAAATACACCTCCCGCAGCTCACGTTTGACATTTAGTGTCAAGGATTTTAGTGGTCCTAAACAAAATTTAGTGTGTTCCTGCAAAACACTTCCAACAAATCACACACTGCTCTTAACTGAATGACACACAGAGACAAACACAATAGAGATGAAGCAATAAATTATCAGAAAATCTTTTACTTTATTTTAAAACTGTATTTTTCAAGTATATTAAAAACTGAGCAGCTAGGTCACAACTGATACATTAATTATTTGCAAAGTATTCAAAATAATGTAAACATATTTAACCTTCATCCTTCCAACATCTTCTACAAACAAATCCTAACTGTGAAAATCTGTTGACTTATGACATATATAATTAATTATATTTATAATTAATTACCATTTTTATACTTCAAAATTAATATCTATGTCTGAACAGTTGCTAATGGATACACAATATCTTTGAACACAGTATTTTTTTAGAAATTATAGTAACCTTTTCTAATATGATTTACATATGGATAAAAATGAATCCACAAATTGCTCAAGTCATATTAAGTTATCATTTATAATGACATCACTTAGGTATTTTTTGGATCCAGATACAGTATCATGAGATGATTCAAAGACATTGCTCACAAACCGTCTGTTGAATGCTATGGGTTTGGCCCCGGCCTCTACTTATACCCCTACCATGATCACTATCACGCTGAGGAGACTGATTGTCGCCACTTTCGTCAACAGATGCTGGTTCAAATGATTTAGTGTCAATGTAATTAGATGGATCTGATATATGATCATCTTCTTCCTCCGAAATGTCATATTCCTTCAGGTCAGAGTCTTCATCTGCCTGTAAGGTATTTTTCAGGGCTTTTGCAGCAGTGTATCTTGCTGGCCTTTCTCAGTTTGACATTACTCACTACAAACACAGACACAACTACATGTTGTGTGAAGTAAATATGTTGGAAAATTAGTACTTTCAGATGGGGTCCAAGTACACCTCAATAGGAAATCGGCTGCTACCTCTCTAGAACACCCATGCATCTAACACTAACACATGTACTAGAACAAGCTCGTATAGTCATGCAAACTCCTAAAACCCCAACGTTGTGGTGCCTTCTTGTGGCAGATGAAAAATCATTCAAATGGACCCCAGTCGGTAGGATTAAGTTTAAAGTAGAAAAGGTTGTCAATAAAGACGTAGACAAATCAACACCAACATGGATGCAGTGGAGGATGCAGAAGGCTGTGGTACCCAAAGGCAGAGCCAAGGGGTGACACCAGTAGTTAAGCCTGTTAGAAGGCTTCACATGTACTCATACTAGAGTGACATATGGAACAGAAGCATTTTAACAGCACAGCCACCCCATAAAGCCACATACAGCCAAGTAGTTCTGGCAAAGCAGAACATATTCATATTGATTTTGTAGTAATTCAAAGATGTTGTGGTTACTATCACTGAAAAGATGATATAGACAGTATAAAATGCATAATTTTTTTTAAATGTAAACAAAGAATTTGTTTGTACATGCTTGTATTAGTTGCAGTGGGTATGATTTAGCTTCAGCTGTAGATTTAGAAGCTCTTTTACTGACTCTTAAAGACTGTACAAATGGAACCTACTTTGAAGAAAAAAAGTGGTACAAACTGCTGACCAATCAAAGACTGACCCAGAACCTGCGAAGAAAGAAACAAAAGGATGGATGGACATAGTATGATGTCTTAACTAGGTGGATGTCTTAAATGCCTGAAGTGTCTTGTGGGTACTTATATCGTAATTATCCTATGGGCTATATCAACCATTTAAAAAAACATAACTTAAGCAGTGATTCCAGTTTTTCATCAATGGTGGATTGCATTAAAATGCTGATTGTGCTGTATTCGACTCTTCATGCATTTCTGCATATGTCTTGCCTGCATAAGAAAAGGATAAGAGTGAAAAAAAATAACAACTTGATCAAAAATGGTTTTTCTGAAAAACAAATTCAGTAGAAATTGTGCCACCCAAATGTGTGTAATGGTCTCAGCCTTGCCACCCCACATAAACTGCAGTCAAAGGCCCAGATGCATCTGAATTCGCCCATGATGTTCCCAATTATTTCTAAAAAGATAACACATTACATCATAGCATTTTAAGAAAACACAAATATTACCAACAGCTACACTCTTTTTAGTATTAGCCCATGTTTAACTTCATAATACAGACTAGTGTCATGTCCAAGAAGTTATGTTAATGTCTTGTGTCAATGTGTCATGGTTTCCTGTTTTATTTTGATATTTAACTCTCCTCTCGTTTCAGGTAACTTGTTCCTTCCCCTTGTGTGTTTCCCACTGGTCTGATTGTCTGTCCTACCCTGATTGTTTCCACCTGTTCCCCATTACCGTGTGTGGGTATATATAGTCTACGTCTCCCTTTGTCATGTGCCAGTTCGTCTTGTCTTTTGAAAGTCAGAGAACCTACGCCAGTCTATGCCACGTCATCTTGTCAGAGTCAGGTTTTTGTGTTCTTTTGATACTTTGCTTTTAACCACAGCCTTGCCTTATGTTATTTTGGTACTTTGTCTTGCCTTTTTCTATCGTTATAGTTGTTTTTCCTCATAAGAGTGATTTTTCATTATGCAGTATTCCTAGAAGATTTTCAGAGTGTTTTTTTGTTGCTGTTATTCCTCTCAGTGAGTGATTTTTAGTTGTGTAGTTTTCCTCTGTAGGAGCGATTTTCATTTGAAACTTTTATTATTAAGATTATTTATTTGAACTTTGTCTCCTAAGTTGCACATTTGGGTTCATGTCCTAGTTCGGTTGTGACAATACGAACTGGCCAGCATGAACCCAGCCGACTCAGATCAATTGACGGTGGCCATTCACTCCCAAAACACCAGCCTGAGTCAGCAGGAGGAAAAGATGTCTGCTCTGCATAGTGGAGTGAAGGGGCTGGCGAAATGTCAAGAGGATTTCAAAGTAGCCATTACAAGCCAAGTGAATCTCCTGGCAGCCCAGGTACATCAAGTCCTAGCTCACATCACGAAGGACCCCTCCTCTCCTGATGCAGTAGCCGTACAGTCTCGTCGGTATCATCGGTTCCGGTCTTCCATGCCACGGCTCCTCTTCTCTCCCCACCTGAAAAGTTTTCAGGTGAGTCTGGAGAATGCCGGCCTTTCATCATTGACTGCGAAATGCATTATGAACACATGCCATCAGCTTTTCCTACAGAACGGTCCGAAGTGGCGTTTATGTTTTCCCATCTCACCGCGAGGCCGTGGGCTACGGGTGAATGGTCCCGTGATTCATCGATCTGTGGATCGCTTGACGATTTCAAACAGGCTCTGAGGAGGGCTTTTGATCCCCTCTCATCTGACTGAGAGAAAGCACGAGAGTTAAGTCATATCAAACAAGGTTTGGAATCTGTTTGATTATGCCATCTGCTTTCGCACCCTAGCTACCAACAGCGGATGGAATGCCACTGCCCTTTGACATCTTCCTTAAGGGACTCTCTGACCGATTCAAGACTTGTTAGTGCGTCTTGGTTTGCCATCAGATCTGGACTCTTTGATAACCCTAGCCATTAGGACTGACAACTGTTTACTCGAACGTCGACATAGCCGAACTGCGTCATCAGCAGGTCGCAATCTGGGCCGTGCTGCAGCCACTACACCCGGTTCACAGAGTTCGTCACGCTTTCATCACCAGCTCCACCGAGGTTGGTGCCCTCTGAGGAGGTAGAGGAGCCCATGCAGGTGGGCCAGGCCAAATTGTCCACAGAGGAGCGTCTTTGCCTGCAGGAAGACAGATGCTTCTACTGCGGGCAGCAAGGCCATCTCCTTGCAGCGCTTCCAGCAAAAGAACAAGCTCACCAGTAGACTGGAGGATACTGGTGAGCTGTTTTTCCTCTGAATCCTCTCCTCGAGCCTTAACCAAGATCACAGTAAAGCGTTATGACACCACAGTTTGTCTTGGGGGGGCTCATTGACTCAGGGGCTGATGAGAGCCTCATGGACTGGGATTGTGCCCGGCCAGTGCTCTTGATGAGAGTTCAATATTCTTGATGACTCACAAAACTGAACCACTGACAGTAATCATTGAAGACCACCATGAACTCGTGAGTTTTTATTTGTATAGCTCTACCCAGCACTCTTGTTCTGGGTTTCCCTTGGTTAAAGGAACATAACCCGCACATTGACTGGAGTTCTGCGAGGGTTTTTAACTGGGCTGAGTGTTGTAAAGATAAATGTCTAAAGTCATGCCATGAATGTGAAAACTATTTTTAATGCTTTCTCAGTTAATTTTGACACAGACTCTGAAACTCCCGACCTGACTTCAGTCCTGGTATGTTGCCATGATCTGGGTGAAGTATTTAGCAAAAGTAAGGCTACTTCCTTTGCCCCTTACAGACCATATGATTGTCCCATTGACTTGATCCCAGGGGCCCCAATTCCTAAGGGTAGATTGTATTCCATCTCTGGTTCAGAGAAGAAGGCGATGACTGAGTATATCGAGTCTTCATAAAAAGATGGTCTTATTCGCCCGTCTTCATCTCCAGCAGGGGCAGGGTTCTTTATTTTTTTGTAGGGGAAAAAAAATGGGTCCCTCCGACCATGCATCGATTCTGGACCACTAAATGACATTACTATTAAAAATCGGTACCCTCTGCAACTCATGTCATCAGCTTCAGCAGGCCAACATTTTCATCAAATTAGATCTGAGAAACACCTATCACCTGGTGTGAATCTGAGAGGGGGATGAATGGAAGACTGGCTTTAACACACCTAGTGGTCATTACGAATACCTTGTTATGCCATTTGGTTTGACTAACGCTCCTGTCTTTCAAGCCATGATCAATGATGTGCTTAGAGACTTTCTGAACCACTTATTGTATGTTTACTTGGATGACATCTTGATCTTTTCCCCAGATTCAGATTCTCATGTCCACCATGTATGTCAGGTTCTCCAGCAAATGCTGGAGAACCAATTGTATGTAAAAGCTGTATGCCAAATCTGTCTTTTCTTGCCTTTATCATAGCCCCTGGAAAGATGCAAATGGCTCTGGCAAAAGTTAGCGCTGTGGCTCAGTGGCCTACACCTGATAGCTGCAAAAAGGTTCAGCAATTCTTGGGATTTGCTAACTTTTACAGTTGGTTTATCAGAAACTTCAGCACCATAGCTGCACCCCTCCATGCACTTGCATCTCCACTGACTCCTTTCCTGTGGCCCTCTCAAGCGGAGGAGGCCTTTTAGCAGCTCAAAGCACGGTTCACGACTGCTCCCATTCTCACGGTTCCTGATCCCAGCCGGCAGTTTGTGGTGGAGGTGGATGCCTCCAATAATGGGCTGGGAGCCGTCCTGTCCCAGCGCTCTGAAAAGGACAAGAAGCTTCACCCCTGCGCCTTCCTGTCTCAGAAGCTCTCACCAGCTGAGCCGAACTATGATGTTGGGAACCGTGAGTTGTTGATGGTCAAAATAGCACTGGAAGAGTGGAGACATTGGTTAGAGGGTGCACAGCATTCTTTCATTGTATGTACTGATCAGAATCTTGAATATATTTGCAAAGCTAAAAGACTGAACTCACATCAAGCCTGGTAGACATTATTTTTTAAATGTTTTAACTTTGTGTTGTCTTACAGGCCGGAGTCCCAGAACACCAAGCCCGATGCCTTGTCCCGTCTGTTTGACCCCGAGCCCATGGCCAAGGAACCTGAGCCCATCCTACCACTGAACCATGTGGTAGGAGCAGTGACTTGGCAAATAGAATCTGAGGTGAAGCAAGCTAATGGTGAGAATCCAACACCCAGTGGTTGTCTGGTGAATCGCTTGTTTGTTCCTGTTGACATGCATCCACAGGTGATCCATTGGGCTCACACCTCGCTGCTCACCTGCCATCCTGGAGTCAAAAGAACCATGCATGCCATTTCCAGAGGTTTTGGTGGCCCTCCATTGAGTGAGAGGTTCGGGAGTATGTGGAAGCATGCTCCATCTGCGCCTGCAACAAGACCTCCTCCAGAGTGCAGATGGGGTTGTTGCAGCCACTCCCTGTTCCTACTCATCCCTGGGCTGAGATCTCTTGACTTCATCACGGGGCTCCAGGTCTCTGAAGGTAACACCACTGTCCTCAGAGTAGTGGACCGATTTTCCAAGATGACACATTTTATTGCCTTGCCCAAGCTGCCATCTGCCAAAGAAACGGCTAAAATTATGACTTGTGTTTCGTATTCATGGATTTTCACAGGGTATTGTTTAAGACTGGGGGCCCATAGCAGCCTTTTGTAATCATACTGTAGACATGCAGAGCTTTGGCTCACTCCCTTTTAAACAGACAGTGTTGCTCCCTTTGCTGTTTTCTCTCTATTTCTGAAATGAGGTGTAGTTTCCCCCAACATGAGAAGTTTAGTCGAAGTGAACTCAGACTTT